CCTTTGTATCACGTAGAAGTATTTCTGACCCAGGTTGGCCCTGAAGCACAGAATGCTGCCATCCTCCCCGTAGTTCCTCCTAGGCCTTCCAAGTACCCTTAAATAAAGAGGAGACTGTCTTCGAAAAGCAAGTCTTAAAATTCATGGTTCATTTCTGTTAAACTATATGCTAACCTCCCAGTCGTATAATCGGCACAGACTAGTTTTCTAGGATAGGTGACCGGAGGTACTGTACCCACAGGGATGAGATATGCTCTTAGTATGCTAAGAAATTGATCATGGAAATCACCCTATGCTTTCAGTAGTCATATTTGAATTTGCTCACTGCATGACCCCTACTCTGGGGGGTATAAGACAACAAGCAGTACAGGACCAGGAGAAGTAAGAGAAATACTTATTCAAAAACCTGTCGTTGTCAACAGAAAAACACTCCAATGGTGAGCTCTTTGCTGTACTCTCTAGAGCCAACAAACAGACTCAGGGCTTAGTTATCAGCTGGCACCATCCTCTGCCATTACAACTGATTCTGAACTGACACACCGAGAACTCATTCAAACATATCTATCACTTTTCCTAGGGACACTCTGTCATCTTTAGAACCTCTACCCTTGCTTTGGGTCTGGGAGACAATCAGACAGGGACTGCTCTTCCTAAATTAGACTGCTAGAGTAGCACTGTCTATAATTATGAAATGTTTGAAATAATGGAAAATCTGTGCTGTCCAGTACAGTAGCCACTACTCCCATGTGGCTGCTGAGCATTTGAAATGCGGCTAGTGCAATCAAGGAACTGAACTTTTAATGCTATTTAATTTTGAATTATTTACATTTAAATGTAAACAGCCAATGTGGCTAGCAGTTACTATATTGGTCAGTACGGCTATAGGTGAATAAGTCCTTCATGCTTTATGCTAATTATCTCTAAGTTATCTTTGTAGCTTAACACTCAGAATACCACTAGTCTTAATTTTTCTTTTACCAGTATGTTAAGGCATTGAGGGCCAACAAATTTTTACCCAAGCAATTATTACTAGGCCCCAGTCTTACATTTGGCTTTATTTTTTACCATGAATATTAACCTTTGCTTCTTGGAAGAACTATGCAGTGGCAGTAACAATTTTACTCACAGTAGTTCGTGGAAACCAGGAGTAAAGAGAGATAAAGGTGAAGAAAAAGAAAAGAGTTGGCAGATACAAAGAGGAGCTACAATGAAATTACAATTTTGCTCCAGCTTATTCTATTTCCTGACATATATAAGTCTTATAGCCCTACTTGGAGGGGAAAACCAAAAAATTGGTCTGTGTGCTTTGGATATAACACTGAAATTGAAAATGTACCAAGATCAGCTGGGCACCTGTGAAGAGAGATAACTCATTTAATTCTTCACAGGTAGGCACAATGAAAGGTAGCGGGTGCTATGGCAGAATTTGGCTTAAGATTCAGGAGCACCAAGGAGGCTGTGAAAATTTAAAACTACCTGGGGGCATAGAAAAAACTCTAAGGAGAGGTGAAACTTGAGCTGAGTAGTAAAAGATGAGTAGGTATAGTCCACGTGGACACTGCGGAGGAAATATAGACAGTCAGGTGAAGGTAAGCAATGGTACAGAGATCTGGAATAAATCGCAGGGCATAAGGGCCATGAAAGGCATATGCAGGGAAGTGGTGGCCAGTAAAGCCCCAGAGGACCAAAGCAGGGGTCTAATTGTAAAGGCCCGTGTGCCTTCCACAGGCACCTGAACATTGTCTTATAAACAATGAGGAACCATAGAAGAGGAGAAGTGACACAACCATATTTGTGTTTTAGAAATGTCAATCAGCTGTTTAGAATGGAATTGGAAGGAGGACAAATTGGAAGAAAGGAGACCAGTTAGACAGCAGGAGGCAAGGGAGAAAACGTCAACTAGAGTAATATTGGGCAATCAGGCATTTTTTGAAAGAAGACATCCAAGCAGCCAACAAATGTGAAAAAGTACTCAACATCAATAATCATCAGAGAAATGCAAATTAAAACCACAATGAGATAGAATTTAGAGTAGTCAGAATGACTATTATTAAAAAGTCAAAAAACAGCAGATGTCGGTGAGAATGTGGAGAAAGGGAACGCTACTGGTGGGGATGTAAATTAGTACAATCGTTATGGAAAACAGTATGAAGAGTTCTCAGAGAACTAAAAATAGAACTACTCGTCAATCCAGCATCTCCACTACTGAGTATCTGCCCAAAGGAGAAGAAATTATTCTATCAAAAAGACACCTACACCCATATGCTCATGGGAGCAGTATTCACAATAGCAAAGTCATGGAATCAACCTAAATGCTTATCAACGAATTATTGGATTAAAAACGTGGTATATATACCATGGAATACTACTCATGCATAAAAAAGAATGAAATCATGTTTTTTGCAGCAACATGGAGAGCAACATGGAGGATATTATCCTAAGTGAAATGATACAGAAATAGAAAGTAAAAAACTGCGTGTTCTCACTTATATGTAGGAGATAAACGATTGGTATATGTGAACATACAGAGTGGAGTAAGACATTGGAGACTCCAAATGGTGGGAGGGTAGGGGCGGGGGCGAGGGTGTGTAGGATGAGATGCTATCTTTTGGGTACAGTGTACACTATTTGGGTAATGAGTACTCTAAAAACCCATACTTCACAAATATGCAGTATATCCACATGTACTTGCACTCCTAAATCTGATTAATTAATTTTTTTTAAATAATACTGAGTTTTGGCTTTCCATTTGTGGGCTAGTGGTGGTTCATACCAATAAAGATAGTTGGTAAAGGAAGAGAAGGAGATTTGAATGGGAAAGACAATGAGTTGGGATGGTTGAACTAAGTTGGTTTGATGTAACTGCAGGCAAGTCCAGTGGAACGATCTGGAGGGTAATTGAATACACTAGGCTATAGCACAGGAGAAAGTTAAAGCGGAAGATATGGATTTGAGAGTCACCAGCACAGAGGGGATAGTTGATGTTGTGGGTGGAGTGGGGAAGCATGCCTAAGTAGTGTAGTGTGTGCAGAGTGTTTGGAGGACTGAAGAAAGAATCGTGGGGAAGGGTGTGGCAGATTCATTACGATATTAATAAAGCCTAGGCTTCAGAGTAAATCATTTGCATAAGCCTCTTCTAAATGAATATTCACTTTTCACTTAATTTTAATAAATTTTTAATCTTTTTCTTAAAGAGGGCCCCAAAATTGTATAAATTCCACAAAACCTGAATCCCCCTGTGAAGGTGGATCTGGAAAGAGGAGCCCGCAAAGACGGACTGGCCAGAATAGAAGAACAAGAGGAAAATGTTGTCTCCAAAGCTGTGAGAGGAGAGGGTTTAATGAGGAAGGTAGTGGCCAACAGTGCCAAATCCCAAGGAGCACAAGTCAACAAGGTCTGGAAGAGCCCTTTGGTCTTTCTAGACAATTCAGAATAAGAGAAGGGCCAGTTCTTTTCTCCAATGGGAGGGCAGGAAGAGAGGCTTGCAGAAATATAGGAAGTTGCAGGACGTTGTGCTTAGTCACCTTTATTTCTTTTGAAAAGAATAAAAAAAGAGGGGGCATATCTGCTAGAGGAAGAGGCATGGAGGAAGGACCTTGAGGAGGTGGTGAGGGTTTTGAAGGGCCTTGGAATGAAAATAGAAAGGAAACTGGCCAGAGCCACATACCAACAGAGCAGCTGAGTATTGGGGGCCTTCAAACCTCAGTTTTTGTCTGTGAATGGGATTGGATTAGTTGACTGGGAAGCTCTCCCCCATCCTTTCCATCTTGATTTTTATGAGAAAGAATGCCTTAAAGCAGTAGTTCTCACTCTTGGTTGTTCACTGGAATCACTGGGTAAGTCCCACACCCAGAGATTGACTGATCTGGGCTGAGGGCAATCGTTAAAGATCGCCAGGTGACTCTAATGTACAATCAAGACGGAAAATCACTACCTTAGTAAGATTACCTGAGGATATTCTATACCGAAAACATAAGAACCAACAAGGTAAGTTCTTCTGTGTTTAATATTCTAGCCTAAGGAGGTGGTATTCCTATGTCTGTCTAATTTTGTTATTTATTTTGGACATGTGTTTGCTTTGAAATCTGAAAGGTTGCATGTATCATCAGCATCTTAACAACTAACTTGTGTGGATATATACTATGTGGCAAACACATGAATTATCAAGTTGTATTCTCACCCCTATGAGGTAGGGACTCATATAATCCCCACTTTACGGAGCAGAAAACCGAGTCACCGAGACAGTAAATAACTCCCATGGCCACTTAGCTAGTAGCCCCAGATGGAGAATTATCTAGGCACATTCAAAACCTCAGATAAATGATCTCTCCCTTAAAGTCACCAGGACTAACCACACCCCTGACTAGAAACTCCTTCAGCTATCTTGAATCACTTTCCAAAACTTCACAGAGAAGTTTTCCTGTATCTCTTTCTCATGTGTTTAGTGTTCTGCTTAATTTGTTGATCACATATAAAAAGTAACTTGGTGGCCGAGTGCAGTGGCTCATGCCAGTAATCCCAGCACTTTGGGAGGCTGAGGCGGGAGAATCACCTGAGGTGAGAAGTTCGAGACCAGCCTGGCCAACATGGTGAAACCCCGTCTCTACTAAAAATACGAAACTTAGCCACACTTAGCTGGGCTCTTGTAATCCCAGCTACTCAGGAGGCTGAGGCAGGAGAATTGCTTGAACCCGGGAGGCAGATGTTGCAATGAACCGAGATCATGCCACTGCACTCCAGCCTGGGTGACAGAGTGAGACTCCGCCTCAAAAAAAAAGGAACTTGGCATTACTGCATGCTGTAATCCAAAATTGAAGCTACAGTTGTTTTAGATGTATCCAAAATGTAGAGCTTTTCTCCAGGTAGGTGCATTTCAAGGTCAGGGGTGTCTTCACCACTTCTGCAATAACTCATTGCTTCTCTGCAAAGGTAGTGCAGACCCTTCATAGAGTGTGCCTTCGTAATATGCCCTGAAATAATTTCCATCCAGCTCCAGTTTGACAGCAGGTGAAAGTTAGCCTCTGTTTGCCTTCTTAAGCTATTTTCTTTAGCTGCATACATGAACCTGTGGATTTGTAAGCAAAGTGTATAAAAAAAATTGCATGCTAACACAGTGCACAGGATTTTTTTTTAAAGAAAAAGTTAAAAATGAAAAAAATTAATCCAACTTAAGAGCCAAAAAGTAGTTTGGTTTTTACCATAGGTAGTGCCTGCATTTATTTCTTTTCCAGTTTCTTTTTGTTTTGCTGGTGTTTCTTGTTCGTTTTCTTCAATGTCATATTTGTTATTTTCATAATTTTCAAGCACTTCTTGCTGAGTTATAGCTGTTGTCATGTCTTTTCTCTTCTCTTCTACAAAAATGCCTGTTGCTTCAAGTGCTTCCAAATCATCAGCCAAGCCAGACATACCAAACTGGTGCCTGGGCAACCTGTATGGAAACAATCCATGTCAAACTGCATGAAAAAATCTCAAGAACTGAGAGGCTCAACTCCCAATTGTTATTTCTGTGATTTGTAAGCCTTATGTGTGGGCATTTCCTAATGACTGTGTTACTGCATTAACTATTTTCTTAGCTTTGTAGACATGTTTGAAAAATCAGACTGATATGTTTAGCATTATTATTTTTACCTCTGGGATATGAAATTCAAGCTTGGGGTGATATGGTAGAATGGAAATTGGTAGAAATTGGTAGAATGCCAAGACCAGCCTTGGCAACATAGTGAAACTATCCCTACAAAAGTACAAAACCAGCAGGGTGTGTTGGCATACGCCTGTAGTCTAAGTGACTTGAGAGGCTAAGGCAGGAGGATTGCTTGAGCCTGGGAGGTCAAGGCTGCAGTGAGCTGAGGTTATGCCACTGCACTCCAGCCTAGGCAACAGAGCAAAACCCTGTCTGAAGAAAAGAAAAGAAAGACAATCCATATCAGAACTGTCAAACCCAGGAGCACCCCAGGCCCAGTGGTTTAGGTCAAGTTGAGAACTAGCATTGCATGTGACCTTTCTTTAGGGAGAAAGTCTCTTCTGCCTTGGGGCAGGAGTATGGACCAATCTCAACCCTGTCCTCAACCCACCTGTTGACAGGCGTGACTAATTGCAGCAGAGTGTCCCCACGGTGTAGGCCCCCACATTCTTCGGTGAGTTCTGGGGGTGGGTACTGGTTTGTCCCACCTAAAAGTAAAATAAAAAATCAAGTCAAATATAAAATAATATAAAATTCTAAAATAAAACATAAAATAAAACAAAATATTATTCATAAAGACATCAAATTCAAAATATAAAATCAAATAAAGTATAAAATATAACAAATAAAACAAAATGTAATAAAACATAACAGTATAAAAATAAAAGCAAATAAAACATTAATTTTTTTAATCCTGGAAGACATAAAATCAAAAAGACATAAAATATATTCACATAAAGCATAAAACAAATATAAATGTAAAAGCAAATAAAACAAAATAAAAACATGAAATGTATCCTATTAGGTAAATAATGCAAAGTAAAATCCAACCTAAAAGAATAACAAAATACAAAATACAATCTAACATAATACAACATAAAAAATAAAATTAAATTAAAACAGGTTAGAAAAGTGATTCCTTTAGGCTGCTTCTCCTTCAAAGAATCTCTAAGCCATCAGCCTTCTGTTACCACTCCCTACACATGTAAGAAACCTAAGGTTTAGAGACATTCATTGACTTTTCCAGGATCACATAGTTCACGAGTGGCAGAGCTAGGACTGGAACCAATTCACTGATCTTTGTACCTCTCAAATTGGAGAGGTACAAATGCTGTGTTCGTACTTCTAAGATGTCCATCAGACTCCTTTATTCTTGTAGTGATGAAGGCACAGATGTCCCTCAGGGCTCCCAATGGGCTATCACAACCACCTATAAACTGAGAAACGAATGTCTCCCAGCAAGGAGGGCAAGGGGGCTTCACATGTTACAGCAAAGCACCCCGCACATAAGTTGAATTATGTACAGGAGGATGAAACCCAAGACAAACTACTAACAATGTGACCAGGATAATACCCTCACCATCCCAATTCTAAATCTCCATTATCATGCTAGGGATACAGATTTGGCTGCCCACAAATTTAATTCATCTAGTTCTTTTTTTTTTTTTTTTTTTTTTTTTTGAGACAGAGTCTCGCTCTGTCGCCCAGGCTGGTGCAGTGGCCAGCTCTCAGCTCACTGCAAGCTCGGCCTCCTGGGTTCATGGCATTCTCCTGCCTCAGCCTCCTGAGTAGCTGGGACTACAGGTGCCCACCACCACGCCTGGCTAGTTTTTTGTATTTTAGTAGAGACGGGGTTTCACCGTGTTAGCCAGGATGGTCTCGATCTCCTGACCCCGTGATCCGCCCGTCTCGGCCTCCCAAAGTGCTGGGATTACAGGCTTGAGCCACTGTAATTCATCTAGTTCTAAGAGAAAAAACAATAACAATTCCACGAGTTCTAATTGGAGGTGAGGATGCTGGAGCAGGGGAATGGGAAAGAATTCTGGCTAGGACCCATTGGCACAGCCCTTGCCCCTTAATCTTCACGGTTGGCTTCATCCACCCAACCTGAGATGGAAGACCCTAGACTTTTGTCCTGTGTCCCTTACTTCCTAGTGAGTCCCTGAAAATCCCTGACTCCACACTGCCATGTTAACCTCTACTTTAAAATAAATATCAAATAAACTAGGATCATTGATATCACTCTCAAGCTTATAAGAAACGCAGACTCTTGTCTCCAACGCAGACCTACCGTATCACAATCTACATTTTAACAAGATCCCCAGGAGATTCACGTACATGTAAAAATAAGAAGCACTGTCAAATACTATTGGAAACTGTAGTAATAAATAGTAATAGCAGTAACTATGCCTTAGATGTGTACAATATTGGTGCTTTCAAAGCCCCTCCCTGAACATATGGCTTCACAATTAGGGAAAAGACTGCAATTCTCATTTTGACAAATGAGAAAATTGAAAAGTTAGGTGGAAGTCTGAGGCTCCCAGCCACCAAATGAGAGATTCGGGACAAGAAACCATCACTAGGCTTGACACAATGTCAGGGCAATAATCGAGCAGGCTTTTCAGAAAATGGGGTGCTCCCTGGCACTTCCCAGGGATGCTCGGCTACAAACATTAGGCAATACTGAATGTGCAACAGGCACCTGCATGCCCAAATGCCAGGCTCTGTAAATTCCTCTCCCCACTCCACCCAAGGTGCCCCAGTACCCGGGGACTGCTCACTTTTTAGGAGAGTCAGGAAGGCCCGAGTGAATCCCCGAGCGTAGTTAACCTCTGGCTCCGAGACCCCTTGTAGGCGCAGTAGATGCTGCTCAGAGGGGGCACTGACCAGCTCGGCTAACTCGGCTAACTCATGCGTCCCCACACCCGGACCCAAGGCCAGCACAAAGAGAGTGATGCCCTTGCATTTGGCCTCCAGTGACAGAGTCCATAGCTTCTCCCTGTCCCAGCTACTTGTCTCGCTGGCCACAATGGCGAAGAGGACTTGTGCCTTCCGCGGCAGAGGGGCTGCCAGGAGCACATTCTCCAGCGTCCACTCCAGGGCGTGGCCCAGGGCGGGGGTTCCCTGCAAGGGGTGGGCTGCAGCTTCGCGCACAAGTCTCTGCATCTGCTTCCGGTTGCTAAAGGTAGTCAGGCGGAAGCCCTCGAGCACAGGGCGGCGACCCACACCCGGCCAGAAGTTGGGTGTCGTGTGCATCACCAGGGCCACGCGCGCCCCACGGTGGGACGCGCTGGGCTGCTCAGCCACCTCCAGGTCTTCTAGCGTGGCATCCACTAGACTCAAAGACCCGCGGTACACGTCGGCATCCACTCCATAGGAGCTGTCCACCAGGAACACCAAGTCCACGTCCACCTCCTGGGGCCCCGGCGCGCCAGCCGGGCATTCTGCATCTGGTCTGCATTTGTCTAGGAAGGAAGTGCAGGGAGAGGCCGGAGTTAAACCACGCATCCCCTTCTTTTCCATGCAAAACACAGTTCCAGACCCTCAATAAGGACAGCTGTCTCTGAGCACTATCTTCCCGGCATTGTGGTGACGTGGCAAGCCACTGGGCACTGTAAATGAGCTCATTTCTCGTAAGAAGAATTGAGATCGATTGCACACTAAATATTTTCAACCACTAGGCCACATGGCTTCCCAGTCTCTGTGTTCACAGACATCACCTCTATTTCCTCCTCCAGAAAATAATTGTAATCTAATAATAGATTATAATCTAACAATAGATAAATCAAGAGTAGTGGGAAACCACATAAAAAAACAATGATTGCTAGAGCTGGAAGAGACCTTAACAACCACATGAAAGTGCCTTTTTTTTAAGGTTAAGAAAAAAAGATCAAACATTGCCAATTTTAAATGAGAAGCTAATAGTGTAGTCTTAGAGCTCTCAAGCTGGTTCAGCATTAAAATGGCATGTAGAATTTTTTTTTCTTTTTTTTACTGTAGATTCCCAGGCTCTAGCCACGCCAAGATGCTGGTTTGGTAGTGCTGGGAGGGAGTTCAGAATCTATCATTGAAGTGTACGCAGGTATTCTGATGAACAATGGTGTTAGGGACCCACTGCTGGGGCAAAATCTTTCATTTAGAACTGGCGGGGGCAGGTGTTCTTAACCTGGGAACCACAGTCCCCCAAGGTGTCCGTGAATGAGGATGGGAAAAAATTACATCTTTATTTTCACTACCTCTATTGAAATGAAATTTAACATTTCTTTTCACTGTGCATAAAGACAACAAGCAACTATAATACTAGTGATTCCGACACCAATAGAAATCACTGATTTCCTTATCAGTGGTTGCAAATGGCTCAATATTATTTGAACTCACTAATACTTCGAAATAATAGTTATTAGACCTGCTAGATCTTATCGTTTAAAATGCTAATAAAGAAGCACATGACAAATGGGTTAAGAATGTGGTATATATACACAACAGAGTACTATTCAGCCTTTTAAAAAAACAGGAAATTCTGTCATTTGTGATGTGGATCACATTTGTGATGTAGAGGACATTATGCTAACTGAAATAAGCCGGGTACAGGAAGACAAATATTGCATGATCTCACTTGTATGTGGAATGTAAAAAGTTCAAACTCATAGAAATAGAGTGCAGGGAGCGGGGGAGGAAGGTGAATGGGGAAAGGAGGTACATTAGTCTAGGGTACAAAGTTTAAGTTAGACAGAAGGATAGGTTCTGGTGGTCTGTTGCACAGCATGGTATTATAGTCAATAATAATGTATTGTATATTTCAAAATAGCTTTAAAAGGTAGATTTTAAACATATTCACCATACACAAATGATAAGTATTTGAAGCAATTGTTACGTTAATTGGCCTGATTTGATCATTTGACAATGTATACATGCATTGAAACATCACTGTGCCCCATAAATTTATATAATTATTATTTGTCAATTAAAAATAAAACTTTTAAAAGTATATATATTACTATATCAAAATTTTTAAGTATCTTGATAATTTCAATGTAATCATTTTCCTTTGTAATCCTGTTTTTTATTTTATGCATTGAAAAACATTATTCTAAGGAGAGCATAGGTTTGACCAGATACAGAAGGGATCTATGATACCAAGAAAGGTTAAAAACTCCTAATTCAGTCATTATCAAAGCACAGGGGTAATAGTCAAGAGTTCAGCAACCTGGCTACCTGGTTCAGTCCGGGTCTATTGCTTTACTCAGCATGTGACCTTGGGTAAATTACTTAGTCTCCCCAGAACCTCAGTTTTCTCATTTGACTCATGGAGGTAATGATGACAATAATAATAGTACTTCCTTTTGAGGTTGTTTATGAAGTTTAAAAGAAAAACTGAGTTCATATATATGTAAGTGTTCAAAACAATGCCCTATGCGTAATAAAACCTCGATGAACACTAGCTAGGTTTAGGTTTCTAGAGGACAGGGAACTGAGGCCCGAAAAAGCAATATGTCAGATTAGATGATGGATGTGAAAGCAGTGCATCACTTGTGACACACGCACAAATAGCAGTTACTACACTTGACTTGACCAAGTTGTCATAGCTGGGTATCTTGTGGTAGTACTAGGCTTAGTGTGGATCAAGGAGAGAAAACCATGACATCCCCTCAAGTTCACCCACTCTGATGCTGGGTAAAATGGATGTGGACAGGAGCTCTTCACATGTGGGCATGCATGGATTTCAGCAGAAACTTTTCTCCAGCACAGGTTGGTGTGGGATATAGCAATGGGGCTTGGGAACCAAGACAAACTGGATGACTGGCCAGTATCCCACTGCTGGTCAATGGTGGTTCCAGGCCTAGAACCCATCACTCTTAATTCTTAGTTCAGTGGCCTGCCCATCACAATAAGGTGCACTAAGGCAGGAACCACAAGCCCAGCTGACCCCAGCAGCTAGCAGGACAGATAAATGAGCAGAGCATGCCAGAAGTAAGATAGGGTGGGGTGAGGACTGTGAGACTCCTCACCCCATTAAGAGAGGTCAGGCCCAACTCAGCTCTGTTGACTGTGCCTAATGGGAATGCAGTGTCCGTGACCCTCAAGACAAGTCTGACTTCCTAAGAAAAACCAGAAATCCAAACTTCATAGGAAATTCTCTAGATTTTAAAACCCTGCACATGCCAAGTAAATACACATCTGCTGAGCAGAGCTAGCCTGTGGCCACCAGTGAATTAATCCTGTTCTAAAGGCTTTCCTGGCTTACCATAGCAGAGAATGCAGCGAGCCACATGCTCCACATCCTGCTGGCGCTCTGTCTCCCAGATGAACAAGTAAAATCTGTTGGTTCCATCCATCTAATCCAAACACACACACACACATAAAAATTTATGATTAGCTGGAGTAACTTCAGGCCATCTTTTTCATGTGTCTTCTCGTTCAGATGAGAAAAACATGAATATGATTTAAAGGATATATAATTATATAAATACATGCACAAATAACTCAGCATTATACATTCCAGTTATTTATTGCTATTTAGTTCCCTAGTTCTAACCTGGAGGTTGGCTGTCATTGGTGTGGGCTATGTGTATTGTGGGTCTTCAGGCTCCCAATATGTGTAAAACTCAGCCAACATCATGCATCAGAATGGGAATAAGGAGACAACATTAAATCATTTGTAAACTTCATAAATCTTTATTAATTGTTCACAGGATGCAGTGTGGTGGGAGCTATTGACCCAAGTGGCAGACTCTTCAAAGGGGCAGTCATAAATGTCAAACACCATGAGAATCCCCTCTAGAGACACCATATGGGAATCCCCTCTAGAGAATTCCTGGTGGTCAGAGCTAGACATATCACAACCAGAATGTAAGAGTGAAGAGGGATCAGGGAAGGCTTTATAGAGATACAAATTTATCTCCTTTACTTAGTTTGCATCCTTTACTTAGCCTTTTCAATTATGATCAATTTAACAACTAATAACAATGCTTAAAAGTGAAATATTAACAATAAATCCAACAAGGTCTATGGGTCAACTAGTTAGATGATCAGCAAACCCCTTCCTTCTTCTTCCTAGGGCACAGTTGGACTATATTTCCCAACCCCTCTTGCAGTTAGGTGGGGCCTACTGACTGGGGTCTAGCCAATGGGATGCAGGTGGAAGTGACGTATGTCATTTCCAGTGCATGCACTGTACTCCATTACTCCCTCTCCCCTCATCTGCCAGTCAGGTGTAGAGGATCCAGAAAAAGGCTTTGAGGCCCTAGGGTATAATGGGGCCACTGACAGAAGCAGCCCACATCCCAAAACAGTGGCATGCTGCAAAACATGCCTTCTCCCACACAAACATATGCAAGGGTCCATATCCACTTACGACAGGTGGCAGAAATAACCACTTATTATGTTAAGACACTGAGACTTGGAAAAGAATGGTTTCACAGTTAACCTGCCCTGACTTATACAGACAATTTGCAGAATGTCAAACTCATGATGAAACTAGAAATACTTTCAGAATGCTTCTCTCATGATTTGAGGTGTGGTTTCCAAAGAGGTGGATGCCTGAGCTTAGTCATGTCCATCTTTGTATCTACTCTCTACCAAAGCGTGTGGAAAAGAGCCCCACTGAGGGTCAGCTTCTCCTCCTTCATCTGTCTGGGCAGGAACAAGCAGGCTCTGGGCCGTCCTCCAGGTAGCAACATGCTGAGGAAGTGAAGGTGTTAGATGCTGAGCATATGAAGATGTTAGGCTAGATCTCAGCAAGATAGATAGTCAAGGGTTAATTTGCAAATAAATTTTCTTAACATTACAGAGCTCTTCACTCTTGCTGTTCAGGAACACCTATCTTTTTAAAAACTTTTCTAACAAACAATAATGTGTATCCCAAACATTGTTTTTCAGAGTCAGCTTACTTGAAGAAAAAATCCTAGTGGGAAATGAAATATGAAGAGTTCAATGTTTATGCTAACGTAACACAAAAAACCATGGGAACAGTCGTAAGTCTCCTAAGAATAAAAGCAAAAAGCATCCTCTCTTGTTCCTCATATGGCCAAAGTAACCTTAAATTAGGCTTTTTCCTAACTTAGAAATCCAAATTAATCAAGCCTGATGAAACAGATACTACATGAAACCATTAACAAGCCATTTGGAGATACAAAGATGACATGACGGCATCTTCAAAGAGATTAAAATCCAAGTAGAAAGATAGATAAATGATTTTCAGACAAGAAAGAGCTCCAATAATATATTTTAGGAGCACAGGAAGAGGAGATTCATTTTGAGGGAAAGGAACAGAGGGAACCTAATGAAAATTATGGCATCTGGCACTTCTGAGATAATAAGTCAGATACTTAACTGGCAAAAAGGCAGGGAAATGCATTCTAGTGTGAAGGAACAGCATGTACAAAGGCCCAGAAGCGGACTGTGCTTATCTCTGGAATTCTGCTCAATGTTCTTGCTCCCACAGTTTAGCGTACACCCACCTCCAGCCTGCAGCTGCATGGAGCACATCTGTGGAACTCCTTGCCACGTGGAGAAAGCTGGCATGGAAAGTGAGTGCCGTGCTGCCAACATTCAACACTCAGATCTACTTCACATGATTATCAGATCTGAGTACTGACCAAGCCAAATGGACCTAATTAATCACTAAGGACTGAGAAAACAGTGTAGGCAGGAATATGACACATTGCTAGCCTACTGGAAATCACACAAGACAATCTGGAAGGCTTCTGAACCCAGAATCCATGGCAATGTGCCAGGAGATATGAAGAGGCTGTGATAACTCTGGGTGCATCAATTTTACTCCAACAGTTGTAGGGAAATGCTAAATTAGTGTACATTATTTTTTAAGCACAGGAAACATGGGTGAAGTATATTATAAAATGCAAAATTTACTTCACATGGGTGAAGTATATTATCAAGCGCAAAATTTCGGTGACTTTTAAAAGTAGTATGAAAGACTTCAAACAAATTTGAACATTCCCCCAAGTCTGTGGAAATTCATTCTCATTTGTCTTAGAGATGGTTCATAGAGAAACTTCTGTGCAGCACTAACAGATTAGAGGTCAGGAACCTGGGTCCTAGTCCTTCATCTGCCATAATTGGCTATGTAGCCTTGGATAAACCTCTGGCTTCAGTTTCCTCAGCAACAGAGTGTTAGGGAAAGAGTCAATGCCCCTGAGTTATCTCCCTTTTCCAACACAGCCTGGTCCTAGGTTACTACCTTCTCTATTTGCTTCTTGATCAGGACAATGTGCCAACTTTTCCACTTTGAGCAGCTCAGAACACATAACTCTTCTATCTTTATTCTATTAATATTTGCTGGAAAACTATCAGATTCAACTGAATTTGAACACTTATCTTTTTAAAAACTTTTCTAACTAACAGTAATTTTATGATCATGTTTAAAATTTGTACTGTTCTTGCAAAAACAAAATTGTGGGAACAAAAGCATGATAAAAGTCCACAGGAAAGCTATGATTCAGTATAGATTCATCTGTACCTAGTTGTTATTAATAAACATTTAATTACTTTGACTTTGGACTTGCCAGCATGGTCCTTGTCACTGATAAAATGGACAAGATACTTCCTGAGAAAGTTCGCAGAGAGATAACATGGAGGAGAGGAGAAAACTGTGTATGATTCCTACTACAAAGTCCCATCAACACCAGAGAAGGAAATACCAGTAGAGTATCTTTAACATAAACCAAGAGGTCTGCTTGAGGTTACTATAGTTTGAATCAGCACCTACAGCAATTCTCTCAAACAACTTCATTCCTAAATGTCCAGTTGTGGTTTGTTGGGACTAGTTGTGTACTAAAGAGAGGAGTATGTTGAGGGGAGAGGATATGGCAAAGGGGGTTATATTAACATCCTTTTTTGTTTGATAGACAGAAAGACATTTCTCAAGGAGTACAAGGATGACTCTGAAACTTCAACTCTCAATATTTAAAAAACCTCCCCATGATCCCTGACTCAGACTTAACCCTGTGGGTTAAAGTCAATGCATCAGCTGTTGTACTAAGCTGCCAGAAGCCATGGGATAATGTTGATCTCTGGGACTGAGTTGGGGGAGTCTCTTGGCTTGGAAAGATGGGAATGGAGTGGAAAGAAGCAAGTGCTAGAAAGGAGGATTTGCCTTGGACAGAGGAAGAGCTAACTGGACCCTAAGGAGAGAGAATTAGAAACTATCTGTCATCAAGTTTAAGTAAGGGCTTGAGAAACAAGGACAGCAAACTGGAAAAAGTAGGGGGAAGGAGGCAGAGTGAGAGAGTAGCCAGGTAACCCGTCATTGACCCCAGGAGCTTGAGTCCAGTTTCGGTTCCTTCGAGTTGGCATGATCCCACCAAAGACTGCCATGAAACAGCCAAGTCTTCCTAGATTCCTTGGAAAACATTAGGTGTCAACATTGGGTTAAGGGTGTAGGTTGCATAGTGAGACTTAGGAACCAGCCATATCTGAATGCAAATTTCAGGACTGTGTAGCCGAGAACAAATAACTTCACCTCTGGCCTTCACATATCTGGGAAATGTACAATTATCATTATTAACCTGTAGCATAGCTATGAGGCTCAGACCAATACTCCTAAAACTTTAACATTTAGGCAAACCATCTGGGGCTCTTGTTATAAATACAGATCCTGATTGCTTACATCAGGGGAAAGGCATCATATTCTGGGTGATGCTGCTGCTGCTGGTCCCTGAACCACATTTTGAATAGGGAGGGGTTGGGATGATAAGGCATGGAAAGCATGTGGCATGGTGGCTGGAACTCCATAGGCACTCACTATCAGATTTAATAAATAGTGGGCAAAGGGCATTCCTACAGAACTCAGGAAGATGGTAATAGAGTGACCCAATTGAGTAAACACATAGAAAGTGTCAGATATCCCTGTGGGTACCACGCCTTATAATTCTCACAACAATCCTGTGAGTTTACGCCCATTTTACAGAGAATAAATTAAGGGGGCCCCATTGCCAAATAACATACCCAGATTACATAAGGGACAAAACCAGGGTTTGAAGCCTCATTGCCTAATTCTTTCCTTTGGTGCGGGTCCTGGCCTTAGGGCATTAACAGTCTAGCGGAGAACAGAGCAGCCATAGGCCTCCTCTGAAAGGGCCTAACTGCATAACCCAAAACCATCTTTCTTCAAAAGAAATGTTTCCAACTTTAGACATGTTGATTCCTCTGATTTGATTGTTACATGATGTATATATGTATCAAAATATCACTTTATGCCCCATAATTATATGCAATTATTATTTGTCAATTAAAAATAAAATAAATATGTATATTTATTGTCTCCCCAAAATAGAAAAGAATGTCCTACTGAAATTATCTGAATTTTGAAATTATA